GACATTCATTTTCTGGGGGGGGGGGCATGGTCTCTTCGTCGCTTACTCATCGGCTCGTAGTTGCGCATACGCCCAAAGCTGTGAAGGCGGTCGCCGACAAGTTTGTTTGTCCGTTGCGGATAATTTGTCTAGCGATAGCGGGGTAACGGTTTCAAAGAACGATAAATGAACTGAGCCGAACAGAGCAGTTTTGTTTATGTGCAGCGAGCAGCCATCCGAGCGATTCATTCCTCACCACTCTTCGGTAGATAATAGAAAATTATACATACAGTCTGTCAGTGGAAACCAATAGTGCCCAGTACATCTTGATCTCCTTGACGGCCGATAAATTGCCATAGGCGTTACATACGATTGCATATACATGACACTTTAACGATATTATTGTGAGATTGAAAAACGTACATGATTTCTGTATGCGGGAGACGATATAATCTTTAGGTAAGTCACAAACAAGAGGACAACTCATAAAATGTTCTTTAATTAGGGACATCTGACGTTTCGAGCAAGCTCGGTCCGTCTTCAGAGTACAATGACAAAAGGCACTTAATGTTTTTATTCGGATATTCATTTTTATGCGTTGTCTTCCCGTTTGTGACTTACCTAAAGATTATTGTGAGATTGTGTTATTCGTTACGGTAAACAAGTTATATGCTTTTTTCAAAATTCGTTGTTTCAATGATATAATAACTGTAAATGTGACTAGAGAACGAAAGAAACTGCAACATTGAAGTTTCCCGCATACCGCTGATACGAATCGCTGCATGGTACAGCTTCCGCTGGTGTACAGTTTAAAATGAGATCGTCAACGCGTATATCCACACAGGTGGTGGAAATAACTGAGAAAAGCAGTTCCCATAACAAATTGCGGTACATTTTTAGAAGTCTACACAAATGCTAATGCCGCTGGAAGCCATCTTAAGAAGAAATCAGACCATTACATGACGCCACCTGACAGTTATCGTCCCGTAAACACCCTGTTTCTTTGAAAAATTGTGCAAAACTGCTTACAAACTTGCCAGAGTTCAATCGTAAGGTGTGGCTTCAC